GGGTGTTTGTGGTTCTTAGTAGCTTCTATGAGGAAGGGATAGAGCGAGGAGAGTATAGTGGGTCATATTTTTTTCTGTGCAACTGCAGGTTTTTGTTAACCCAGCCACATACTTCCCCACACAGATGTGGAAAGTTCTTTTGGCGTTGGCTGTTCTGAATAAGCAACGTTATTCTTTTTTTTTTTTTTTTTTTTGAGATGGAATCTCGCTTTGTCACCAGGCTTGAGTGCAGTGGCACAATCTCTGCTCACTGCAACCTCCACCTCCTGGGTTCAAGCAATTCCCCTGCCTTAGCCTCCCAGGTAGCTGGGACTACAGGCGCCTGCCACTGCGCCCGCTAATGTTTTTTGTATTTTAGTAGAGACGGAGTTTCACCATGTTGGCCAGGATGGTCTTGATCTCCTGCCCTCATGATCCACCCGCCTCAGCCTCCCTCAGTGCTGGGATTATAGGCATGAGCCACCGTGTCTGGCCAGCAATGTTATTCTTTAGGGTCCCAGCTTTTGCTTAGTTGACAATAATTCTTGAAAAGCATTGCATTCTTTGCTGCCTTAGTTTAAAAAGCATTGCACACTGGCCGGGCGTGGTGACTCACGCCTGTAATCCCAGCACTTTGGGAGGCCAAGGTGGGCAGATCACACGGACAAGAGTTAGAGACCAGCCTGGCCAACATGGTGAAACTCCATCTCTACTAAGAATACAAAAATTAGCCGGGTGTGGTAGCACATGCCTGTAATCCCAGCTACTCGGGAGGCCGAGGCAGGAGAATTGCTTGAACCCGGGAGGTGGAGGTTGCAGTGAGCCGAGATGGCACCCCTCTGCACTCCAGCCTGGGCGACAGAGTGAGACTCCGTCTCGGGGAAGAAAGAAAAAAAAGAGCACACTGAATATATTTTAACCTTTTTTAGGTGACTCTTAATCATTTATGAATTGAGGATTCAGGTATGGAATAGTCAGCAAAATTGAAGTGGGAATTTTCATCAGACCTGGGTTTAAAATACTGTCTGGCTACTTAACTAGCATTACAGCCTAAAACACATCTGAGGTAATTTTTAATGATAATAGTAATAACACTGTGGTTATCTCCTTGCACTATAGAAAAGTGGTTTTGGGTCAGGCACAGTGGCTCACACCTGTAATCCCAGCACTTTAGGAGGCTGAGGCAGGAGGATCACTTGAGCTCAGGAGTTGGAGACCAGCCTGGGCCACACAGCCTATCTCTACCAAAAACTTTGGGAAAAAATTTTTCTAGGCCTGATGGCATGTGCCTGTAGTCCCAGCTACTCAGGAGGCTGAGGCGAGAGGGTTGCTTGAGCCTGGGAGATTGAAGCTACAGTGAGCTATGATCATGCCACTGCACTTCAGCCTGGATGACAGAGCAAGACCCTGTCTCAAAAAAAAAAAAAATGGAAAAAGAAAAACGATTCCAGACATTTAGCTCCATTTGTACTAACTGTAGCAAATACCCTAAATACCCTTAAAAACACTGTTAGAATTTCTGAGGTTTTTTTGTTGTCTTGACTTTTAGCAGCATTTAAAACATTCTCTTAAATTAGTATCTTTAGGATCTTCATTAGGATCATTACACCTTTTGTATAAGGTCAAGGAAAAATCCCGAAGTTTAAGGCCAGCCTAGGCAATACCTATTGAGGCCCATCTCTAAAAAATAAAGCTCTAGGGTAAAGTTCATTTTGCGAACTTCTTAATTATTGCTGTTTAACATCTTTAAAGCCAGTGGGTATTTCCACAGGATAAACATAAAATCAAACTTTTGACTCCTAATGTTAGCTCTTTACTTCTGGGTTCTATAAGAAGACAAATGGTTGACACCATAAGCCTATTTTGTATTTACATAATAGTCATTTTTGCTGTAATCAATTTTTACCATTTAGCCAGAAACTTAATACTTCTTTTTTTTTTTGTCATGTCATACACAATTATGTGCTTACAGGGACAAATAACCATGTAACAGTGGCAATAGAAAATTGAGTACCACTTGTTCATAACTAACCATTTGAATAAGAACAAGGTAAGACAGTGTAAAGGTAATCCTTGAATAAATGTAGCTTATTTTCATATTTCATAATCTTTAAACAATTTGCAGTTCTTTTTTTTAGTCTTTTTAATTGTATCAGCAAAATTAGGCAGTACAGGAAAGACTGGAATGTAACATCTGCCAAAATCTCATTTTCTTTATTCCTTATAGCACAATCTTAGTAACTATTTGTTGGTAAATTAATGAAGAAACTAATAAAAATAGTTTAGGACTGGTATGTGGACCACTGGCCTTTTCAGTAAACAGTACCTTATTAATTAAAGAAAAAAAGGTGGCCAGGCAAGGTGGCTCACACCTCTAATTCCAGCACTTTGGGAGGTCAAGGTGGGAGGATCACTTAAGCCCAGGAGTGAGAGACCAGCCTGGGTGAGATACTTAAATTTGTATAGTGAAACCTCATCTCTACAAAAAATAAAGAATTAGCCAGGTTTGTGTTGATGCACACATGCAGTCCCAGCTACTTGGGAGGCCGAAGTGGGAGGATCACTTGAGCCCAGAAGGTCGAGGCTGCAGTGAGCCAAGATGGCACCACTGCACTCCAGCCTGGGTAACAGAGCAAGGTCCTGTCTCAAAAAAAAAGAAAAAAAAAAAAAGCGACTTTTGTCCACTATTAAGGAAATTCAACCCAAAGAAAAATGACCAAAGACTCTAAAAAAGAATTAAGAGGTTTATTTATGTTATATGGTTTGTAAAAGACACAGCAAGAGAAGATTGCTAAGTAGTAAATTACCACAAACATGGAGCTTATCACATTTATCATCCTGTTCCTGTATAACAGAGTTTGTTTTTCTAAAGGCGTCTTATCTGGAGTGTCAGCTAGAGGAGTATCTGTTTCCTCACTTGTGGGCTTGTCCTCAGCAGTTAGGCCCTTGCAGAGCACCTTGAGCCTGCGTGCAGGGCTGCAGCCAGAGCCTAAGACCCAGGACAGTCAGATCACAGGCACTCAGGGTGGTGGTCACGTTGGGCAGAGTGGCTGCAGTCAGAAGAGGAGCTGTATGACCCGCATGTGGTGATCGTAAGCCAGGTCCATGTCACCGAGAGCTGGAGCTGTGGAGTAGTGCTTGGTGTCCAGACAAGCCCGCAGTCCGAGGTCCACGATTCTTCTTAATGTGGGCGGAATAATTGCTGATGCTTGTGGTGGTTGAGAATCCTCAGCTGCAGTTCCTTTAACAGTTGCTGTGGGAAGTTTTCTACATCTTGCACCAGTCTTAGGACAGGTGTAGGTGGACCAGATGTCTTCTCAAATGATGTCCAAGTTAGCAGTCTGGGAGTACTGTAAGATTCTCCCTTTTAAAATACTCTTTTGATTGATTCAGGGGAAGAAAGTAATACCCGCTCATTTACTGCTACAAAAATCTTTATTATTATAATATTAGTAGTGTTAAGGACTTACTTATATTCCATCTTGTTATATTAGTAGCTTTGTACCTTAGCCCACAGAACCATTTAGTAAATATTTTCAGAAATAAAAAAATCGTTTTAACCAACAATGTTTCTTTTTTTGTAGGTGTATGAAAACATTATAGACTGATATTTTCAATTTTCATTTGGAAGAAAATGATCAATGGAATGAAACAATTGAAGTATAACAGAAGATATATTTTTTAAAAAAGAAGCTTTGTACAGTCCTGGGATCCACAGACGCACTGCTCCAGAGCGGAACGATGCCTTAATCTTAAGTGTCCATTTGTGCAGCATTGGCTTCGGGCTACAAAAGTGACTTAACGTTATTCTGGAAATAATACTCACCTGTTATGAGATGCTATAATACGAGCTGTCATCACATTTTAACATGCATATGTATTTTTTGATACCTGAATTACATTATTAGAATTAGTATCCATATACATTTTCACTCTAAAAACACAAGCTTAAAAACTTGAAAGTAAAGTACATCTAGGACAAATGGTGGCTGAAAGTGAATAATATTCAAATTACTGTTGCTTGTACTGTATAAGGAAAATGCTTTTTTAAATTGGGTATTTGCTAATTTATAATTACTATTTTATACTTTTCAATATTTTTAATAACTTTTATTGTTGGCTATAACAGAAGGATTCAGATATCTAAATATCATTTAGAACATAGAACACATTGGTCTAATTCATCGAAAGCTTTGTTAGAAGCATTAATACAGCCATGTAGTGGAACAAGTGCCCAAGGCTTAAAGGGAACTCGGCAGGATAAGAACTATTTTGGGTTCTCTCTGCTATTTTATAACTTTTGTTGTTGAACTTTCAGGGGTGTGTACACGGGCAGAGAAACACAAAGGTACATGTGCTGGAGAAATACTGGACACAGTAGGAAGAAGTTTAAGTGTCCAGAAGAAAAGATAAGAGGAATATTGTAATCTGTTAAAAAAAGAATAGTTTGAGTTTTAACAGTAGTTAGAATAAAGCATGCTGTTGACTTGACTTTCAAATTTCAGGGTAGGTAATGACTAAAAATTACTTTGAAACTTTTTTACAGTAATACTGTAACAACTTAAACAGTGACTTAAAATGCAATTCAAACTAGGCAAAAAAACTTTAGAATAAGTTTTCCTCCTGGCTCTTAGTTGGAAAGTCTAACCTGAGTGGTCATTTTACATTCCCAGTCTCTGAGAAGTGGATTCTACTCTTAGATGCACAGTCTCAAGTCTGACTTTCTAACAGCAACCCCTTTATGCCTAGAAACATTTCTCCTTTTTCCTTTTAAATCTAATCTAAGCGACAGGAGTTGTTGCATTAACTCCAAAGAAAAGTACAGAATAAACAATGTCGAAATGTTACTCCTCATTTACACCTTTTAGTCAGACACACACACACACACCCCCACCCCCAAATAATCGATTGCTTCCCGTTGGTGGGTGGAGGCGAACCTCAGCAGCACCTGTGAGTACTACAGGTTGGAGTGTCCTGTGTAAAATGGGACTGCAGGGGAGGGAGTGTTGTGAATGAGTTGGACTGGATGACTTCTAACATTCTGCGATGCCTAATTTTGCAAAATCACTTTTCATTCACCCAGTAAATTTTTTTCTTCTTTTTTCCAGGCAGTCTTGCTCTGTCTCTCAGGCAGGAGTGCAGTGGTGGGATCTTGGCTCGCTGCAACCTCCACCTCCCGGGTTCGAGTCTCCTGCCTCAGCCTCTCAAGTAGCTGGGATTACAGGCTCACGCCACCAGGCCCGGCTAGTTTTTACATTTTTAGAAGAGACAAGGTTTTACCATGTTGACCAGGCTGGTCACGAACTCCTGACCTCAAATAATCCACCCGCCTCAGCTTCCCAAAGTGCTGGGATTACAGGCGTGAGCCACCACGCCCGGCCCCAGTAAATTTTTTGGAGTACCTTCTATATGCTAAACAATACACTAGGAATAGCTCCGTCATTTCCTAGTACAGCATAAATTTTATGGTTGCTACTGTAGGTTTATAATTTGTTGTTTATAATTTGGTCTAATTTCCATCAGATACTAATAATAGATTTTAAAAGGAGGCAACTATTTTTCTTTGAACCAAAGGAATGAGTTAGCTTTGAAAACATAGTTTGGAATACTATAGTATGGATTCTTCTACCTTTGTTTCAACTCCTTAGTCTTAATAATCTCGATTCTAGCAAACTAGAATGAGTTAAGAGATAATCAATTATTGCTGGGCATGGTGGCTCATGCCTGTAATCCCAGCACTTTGGGAGGCCGAGGCTGGTGGATCACCTGAGGTCAGGGGTTCGAGATTAGCCTGGTCAAAATGGCAAAACCCGCTCTCTACTAAAAATAATAATAAAAAAAAAAAACCCAAAAACTGTCCAGGCATGGTGGCACACTCCTGTATTCCCAGCTACTCGGGAGGTGGAGGCAAGAGAATCACTTAAACCCAGGAGGTGGAGGTTGCAGTGAGCCAAGAGTCTGGTGCACTCCAGTCTGGGTGACAAGAGTGAAACTCCATCTCAAAAATAAATATATATCAACTACCAACTAAAAACATAACTTCAGTTTGGCAGTTTGCATATTATAAGGAGATAAATGTTTAAACATACTTGACTACTTTCAGAAATGTTCTCCTGGTACTTTTTGTGAGTATTTCTACATTCAGATCAAAAGATTTGCATGTACCTGGCTAACGCCAAGGAAACTATTTTCTTCACTATTATGCACTTTCATGGTAGTATAGTCTTTCTCAGTTCTTTTACTTTTTGTTATTTAACATCTTTAATATAATAGCACAGCAAACATCTTTTCAGAAATTTTCAGTTAAAGCCTTTGAATTATTTATCTTTGGTTTAATTTACAGCCAGCATTTTGCCACATTCTAAATAATATTTAGCTGAACTGCTTCATGCGTATTAATGACCATTCTAGCAAAGGCCTACAAGTGGTGTGGGAATCAGGGAAAGGCTGCCTCTTTGGTATTTCAACTGGTATTGATTATTGCTATCAACTATTTGGGGAGAAAAAATCAAAATGAAGCCCTGTCAAATTTTATAAGTACTATCTTTGGTCCTTCAAACACTTGAACATTTGTGATGACACCTTAAGAAAAATGAAGTTCAGGTCTTACCATTGCCATTAAAAACAAATTAGGAGACGTGGTTTACCTGGGAACAAATTTACTTGAATATTCAGTACCTGAAACCATGCCAAACCAAAGAGCAGCTGCAGTACATTAGTTATTTTAAATGAACAAGTTTACAAAGTTTATTTTCATCTATACATAAGGATGATTTTTTAAAAAACTTTTTACATATTAGTGGTTATGATCCAATGTGTCATGAGTGAATTTAACTGTAAGGTGGTTTAAATCAAATATGCAATGTTTACTTGAATTGTATTTCTATTAGCAGATTTTGACTATGTTTACAGGACTGTTTAAATTAAGGATTATCAGGCATGTGAGATCGCCTTTCAGTTATCTTTAAAACAGATGTATATTAAGGGCTTAGAGTTAGGCTCTACATATTCTGGGCAGTGAATAGGCAGTAACTTACAAATAAGTTTTGCTTACCTTTTGTTTTAGGGACTAGCACTGCTATCAATGGAAAGTATTTTTAACTAATCTGTTATTAAGAAAGTCATATTTTTGCATTTCAGCCAAAATAAAGACCATCTCTGATAATCTGTTAGAAACAGATAATACATGTCTGAAATCCATATGTTTCATATGATCTAAACTGTATTTTCCAATTTAAATTAAAATGTAATATAGATTCAGAAAGGTTCATATTTTTCTAATGACTTCATTCTATATTATTTTGTTAGGTTGCATAAAGAAGCAAGGAATTGCACTTGTATTAAAAGATGAAGAAAGCTATTAGGTATATTTGTACATGACTGCAAATGAGTCTATGCCTGTTTAAAAGAAAAGATGGACACTATTTTAAAGTGAGCTTTAATATGCTTTTATATAAACAAATTTGAAGTACAGTTTAGTTTGGTTGTGTTTACCTAACAAGTACTATAAGCCGTGTATTTGTTCTTATTTGTATAATCCTAGCCTGTGACTTAATGTTGACGCTTTGCTTTGTCTTTTGGCTGGCCTAACCTACATTGACATGTACGCAGAACATTTTACAACTTTTTTTTTCCAAAAGTCATAATGAATTACTTTATTAATAAACAAATAAAGTCTTGTATTTGAAGTGTTTTCTTTGTTATAAAGTGGTATTTACCAAATGAGAGAATAACCATTATTTTTATCAACTTGAAAATCTGGTAAAATAGTGCTTAGAGAAAGAGATTGGCTAATAGTTTAGGGAAACCACCTTTAAGATAGGTATTATTTTAGTGCAACAAAATTGTAGTTTACTTAGGTTTATTCAAAACCTAAAGAGTTTAGTGGCTTTTTACTGAACATAATTTAATTTCAGAAGTCATTTAGGACCTTGAGGACCTTCAGATCACTGTAAGTTGTTGAATTGTGATTGTTAAAATGCTGAATAATTAATAATTTCATTATGTAGAATTCTTTTATGGCATCTGTGTTCCAGTGCCCTTCCAAAGAGGCCAAGTTTGTTACTGAAGCCAATTAAAGATTTCATGTAGCTATATTTATAAAAATTGAAGTATCTCCTTGAGAAAGGAAAGATCTTGAAGACAGGTAAATATATCAAATTGCAGGCTGGGTGCAGTGGCTCACGCCTGTAATTCCAACACTTTGGGAGGCCGAGGTGGGTGGATCACTTGACGTTAGGAGTTTGAGACCAGCCTGGCCAATATGGTGAAACCCTGTCTCTACTAAAAATATAAAAATTAGCCAGGTGTGGTGGTGGGTGCCTGTAATCCCAGCTACTCGGGAGGCTGAGGCAGAAAAATCACTTGAACCCAGGAGACAGAGGTTGCAGTGACCCGAGATCACGCCACTGCCCTCTGGCCTGGGTGACAGCAAGCCTCTGTCTCCAAAAAAAAAAAAAAAAAAGTCTAATTGCCGAAATCTGCAATCTGCATATAATATAATCCCACTTACTTACGAGTTTTACAGTGTCCATGCTGTGTACCTGTGTGTTCAAACTCAGCCTATTAATCAAGTATTAATTACACTATTGTAATGTTCTCATATCCACTTCCTGTTCCTTTTGTAGTGAGCTCCAGTGTTGCGGGTATCCACTTAAAACACCAGGCGATGCCCATCATCTCCACAGGAGGAGTTTGTCTTGCCGGTAAATCATGTTTCACAGTGAAAGTGATCTCATGGTACTCATGTAGTTTTCTTTTTGAATTTATTTATATGAGGCACAGTAGGTACATATTTATAAAATACCTGAGATATTTTGATAGAGGCATACAAACAATGCATAATAATTACATCAGGGTAAATGTATTCCTCACCTCAAACATCATTTCTTCGAGTTACAAAGCTTATGATTATACTGTTTTATGTTTAAATGTACACTAAATTAATGTTGACTGTAGTCACCCTGTTGTGCTATCAAGTAGTAGATCTTACTCATTTTATCTAACTATATATTTGTTTTACCCATTAACCGTCCTCACTTACCCCCAACCCCCACTACCCTTCCCAACCTCTGGTAACCTTCATTCAATTCTCTGTGTTCATGAGTTTCATTGTTTTAATTTTTCGCTCCCACAGATGAGTGAGAAGTCTTTCTGTGCCTGGCTTATTTCCCTTGTGACATAATGACCTCTCGTTCCTTCATAGTTGTTGCAAATGCAGTATCTCATTCTTTTCTATGGTTGAATAGTGCTCTATTGTGTGTATGTATGTGCGTGTGTGTGTATTTGTGTGTGTGTGTGTGTGTATATATATATATATATATATAATCTTCTTTATCTGTTTGCCTGTTGATGGTCACATAGCTGGCTTCCAAATCTTGGCTATTGTGAATAGTGCTGCAGTAAACTTGGAAGTACCAATTATCTCTTGCACATACTGATTTCCATTCTTTTGGATAAATACCCAAATGCTCTCTTTAACATCTTTCCACACTGGATCCATCATATAATTGTGCATAATAGCAGCTGGAACTGACAGATATATAGAAATAATGCTGCTTTTCTCAAACTGCTGAGCCACCTCTTCACAATACTTGGCTATAGCATCTGCCTCTCCTGATGGGGTACAGGAGCAAAGACTGTTAAAGGCGGATTGCTGGATCATACGGCAGTTTTTTTAGTTTTTTGAGGAAGCTCCATGCTGTTCTCCATAGCGGTTTTACTAATCTACATTCCCAACAACAGTGTATGAGGGTTCCCTCTTCTCTGTATCCTTGCCAGCGTTTGTTGTTGCTTGTCTTTGTATCAGAGCCCTTTCTAGTGGGGTGAGATGTTATCTCATTGTAGTTTTGATTTGCATTTCCTTGATGATCAATGATGTTGAGCACCTTTCTGTATACCTATTTGCCATTTGTATGCCACTGTGTGCCTGTTTGCCATTTCTTCTTTTGAGAAATGTCTATTGAGATATTTTGCCCATTTTAAAATCAGATTATTAGATTTTTTTTCCTATTGAGTGGTTTGATCTCCTTATATATTCTGGTTATTAATCTCTTGTCAGATGGATAGTTTGCAAATATTTTCTCCCATTCTGTGGGTTATCTCCTGACTTTGTTGGTTGTCTCCTTTGCTGTGTAGAAGCTTTTGAGTTTGACATGATCCTATTTGTCTATTTTTGCTCTGGTTGCTTGTGCTTCAGGGGTATTACTCAAGAAGTCTTTGCTCAGACCAATGTTCTGAAGTTTCCCAAATGTTCTCTTTCAGTAGATTCATAGTTTGACATCTTAGATTTAGGTCTGTGATGCATTTGATTTTTGTGTGTGATGAGAGACAGGGGTCTAGTTTCATCTTCTAAACATGGATATCCAGTTTTCACAGCCCCATTAATTGAAAACACTGTCTTGTCACCCATGTATGTTCTTGGTATTTTTGTTGAGGTGAGTTCCCTGTAGATGTATGAATTTATTTCTGGCCTCTCTATTCTGTTGTACTGGTCCATGTGTCTTTTTTTATGCCAGTTACCATGTTGCTTTGGTTACCCATAGCTCTGTAGTATAATTTTAAGTCAGGTTATGTAATTCCTTCAGTTTTGTTCTGCTCAGAATGACTTTGGCTGTTCTGGGTGTTTTCTGATTCCATCAGAAAATTTTAGGATTATTATTTCTATTTCTGTGAAGATATCATTGGTATGTTGATAGGGACTTCATTGACTGTGGATTGCTTTGGGTAGGATGGACATTTTAACAATATGGATTCTTGCAATCTATGAAAATGGAGTATCTTCAATTTTGTCTCCTATTCCATTTCTTGAATCAATGTTTTATAGTTCTCACTGTAGAGGTCTTTCACTTCTTAGGTGAAGTGTATTCCTACATATCTTATTTTGTTTGAGCTATTGTAAATGACAATAGTTTGTGATTTCTTTTTCAGATTGTTCAATGTTGGTATATACAAAGGTTACTGATTTTGTATGTTTTTTTATCCTGCAACTTTACTGAATTTATCAGTTCTTAGGGGGAGTGTTTAGGTTTTCCAAATATAAAATTATATCATCTTCAAACACGGGTAATTTTACTTTTTCCTTTCCAAATAGATCCCCTTTGTTTCTTTCTCTTGTCTGAATGCTCTAGCTAGGACTTCTTGTATTTTTCATCATGTTTAGTTTAATAGTGTAAATCATAGAACCCAAAGAAAGTACCACTAGTGATGCATAAAGTGCTTCCAAGAAGGAGAGAAATAACATTATAAGAAAAAGCTGATTTGCTTGATATGTACCACAGTTTGAGATCTGTATCTTTGCCTGCATTTTCAGACAGATGATTCATCTCAGAAACACATGAAGTAAACTTACGGTATTGATAAATTCAGTGCAGTACTGTAAATATACTTTATATCTTCCTTATAATTTTCTTAACATTTCCTTTTCTCTAGCTTACTTTTGTAAGGGGAACAGTAAGCAGTCTATCATGAAAAGTATTTGATTTTTAATCTAAGTAAAATGTATGTATTATGAAAGTATTTGTGACTGGGGTATAACGAACTAATAAAATCTATTACACATAGGAAATATGTAGGAGAAGAGCTTTTGGAAGAAAAGAAAATAATAACATTAGTAGTTTCTTAGTTCAAGTCATGTAAAACTCTACATTTTACATAGCGTTAATGAAAGATAAGATTCCTCCAATAAAGGCTTCTCCCTTTATCTGATACTGAGTTATCCTACAAGGCCTGTCTGATGATGCTATTGTCATTTACTAATTTTATAAAGCCTATCTATGAGGTTTTTGTCACAGAAACGGTATGGAAAACTGTCTCTCAAACTATTCCTAAACCTGTTAGGAAAATATGTCTTTATACCTAAAATCTGTGAAGGTATTGGATATCATATCATCATCACCACAAAGTATCTACTATTTCAGCATAGCAATATTAATTGTATTTTTATCAGATTAATCCAAACCACATAACACATATATGTTCTCTATTATCTAAACTTAAAATAAGGAATTTTATTTATGGAGTTTTTTTAATTTAAGCAATTCTCAAGTTCGATCTAGCCTCTGAAATTTTTATATGAAAGACTTAATAAATGATGTATCATTCTCAAAATAATGTCTTTTGTTTAACTTAAACATTACAAATAATATTTTACATATTACAGATGCAGCAGGAGTTGCAAGACAGTACAACTACAGAGATACAAAAAGGTATGTTACCAATGTTTATTAATTTAATTAAATTCATTGATTTCTGAAATAAACTATAAATAGTAAATGGCATCCCTTTCTATTGTTTGGTTTATAGATAATATGTTAAATATTTTTCATACATACCACTAATGAAAGATGTGAAAGCATTAACATTTATAATGAAAAGTATACTTAACCCGTCGTTAATTCATCATGTTCCATAGCTTCAGAGAAATCTCAAGAAGTCTGTGTATCTTTTTTCCTCTGGCTCTACATTTTCTTCACTTCTGCCATCCCTATGGACCTGCCAGCCAGCAGACTGAAACTGTTCTCAGAAAACAAAGGAATCATCGACTTCCTGGGTTTATGGTGGTGATTTAAGGCCAAGAGACAGACTCCAGGCTCATCTAGTAACACTCAGGCTACTCCAGTTCAAAGGCAGCCACATGACAGGTGACATTTTAAATCTCCAGTCATTTACTTTGTCATTGGTTTACTTTTGCCCCCAGGAAAGGTTCCAGATTCCTAGCATGGAGTAAAAATATCCAAATCAGTTTGGCTCCTGTCAAGTTATTCAGCCTCATCTCTCATCACTTGCCATACTCTGCCCCTTCGCTCTAGCATCTCGCCAAAGTTGGCTACGCAGAACACAGGGAACTTCCTCAGCTCCAGCTCTCTGTATGTGTTCTTCCCGCCATCAGAAAAATAAACTAATCTCTAAGAAGAGATTCAGGTCTCCTAATTTTTTATCGTCTCCTATCTTGCTCGTTCTTTTATCTCCCTTTTATATTCTTCAAATTGTTTAACTTCCCACCATATTTCTTTTCATATGACTTCTGAGATTTACTATTACTTTCTCCAACTTCTTTTTAAGCTTCTGAAATTTTTCATGTTTCTTCTGCATTGTTTTCATAGATAATGACTCTTGGTGAAGAATTTGATTTTAGAAAAGTGAGCAGTATGGTGGTTTTAAAATACATCTACTAATTGGTTGACATATTTCTCCCTTGAATTTCCCTCTGTTGAATATAAGCTGGCCTTAGTAACTAGCTTCTGGTGAATATAATACAATGGAATTATATTATATTATATATAGAAGTTATATATATAATTATATATAATATTATATATATTATATATAGAAGTGCGGTGTCACTTCTAAAGATTAGGCTAGAAAATGTAATACAGCTTCCAGCTTACTTTCTCTCTTTATAGAAGCTTGTCCTTAGAATACAGCCACCATATATCCTGAGGAAGCCCAAGCCACATGGTGAATCCTTATGTAGCTATTCCAGCTGACAGTCCCAGCTAAAGTCTCAGCCAAAAGCCAGCTTCAGCTGCCACAAATGTGAGTAAAAAAACCCTTAGATAATTCTAGTCCTCAGCTTCAAGTGACCATAGCTATTGCCAAGGGAAGAGAAATGAGCTGGCCCCATGGAGCCTTGCCTAGAACTGCAGGTTCAGAACAAAGTAAGTGTTGTTTTGAGACACTGAATTTTGAGGTGGCTTATTATAAGGCAATAGATAACAGATACAAATACTAAATACGGGTTGCTTCCATGAAAAAAATCAATAATAATAAGTACTGAAACAAGTAGGATAGCTTTGTGCCAGCAGGTAGTCAGAGGCTGAAAAAAAGAACCTGGAGAAGAACAAGAATGAAATCCAAAGAGCTTCAAAGAGACTGTAAGTAGACGCTTGGTGGCCCTTGAGCAGAAACCTTACATGCCATATGGAAAGTAGGTGATACACTTAAAGTGCTGAAAGAAAAAGGCTGTGAGCCTAGAATATAATACCCAGCAAAGCTACTCTTCAAAAAGGAATGGGAAATAAAGTTTTCTCAGACAAGCAAGAACCAAGGGAATTCACGTGTAGGCCAGCCCTGGAAGAAATGAGGGTCCTAAATCTGAAAAACGAAGAGACAATATCTACCATTATGAAAATACACAAAAGTCTAAAACTGACTGGTAGAACAGATACACAATTGAAAAAGAGACAAGAATCCAATGTTACCACTACAGAAAACCATTAACTCATATAGATAAACAATATAAAGTGAGAAAGGACCAAAAGATACACAAAACAAACATTAAACAATTAACAAAGTGACAGGAGTAACTCTTTAGCCATCAATACAACATTGAGTGTAAATGGCTTAAATTCTCCAATTAAAAGATACAGCCTGGACGAGTGAATCAAAAAACAAGACCCAAGAAACTCACTTCACCTGAGTGCCAACAGAAAACTCACTTCACCTGTAAAGACACACACACAGACACACACAAAGTTAAGGGATGGAAAAAAAATTCAATACAAATTGAAACCTTTTGAAAGCATGCAGTAGTAACTGTACCTACACCAGGCAAAATGGACTTTAAGTCATAAAAACATAAAAAGAGACAAAGAAGATCATTATATAATGAAAAAGCGATCCATTCAGCATGAGGATATAACAATTATAAATATAAATACACCCAACACTTGAGCACCCAGATCAATAAGGAAAATGTCATTATAGCTAAAGAGAAAGGCATACCCTAATGCAATAGTCACTGGATCCTTCAACAGCCCATGTTTAGAAGGGAACAGCACATCTAAAGAGAAGATTAACAAAGAAACATCAGACATAACCTGCTCTATAGACCAAATGAACCTAAGAGAAATACACAGAACATTTCTTCAAACAACTGCAGAATACACATCCTTCTTATGAGCACATAGGACATTCTCTATGATGGACCATATGTTAGGCCATAGTAAAGTGCTCTATAAATTTTAAAACCTCAACATCATATAGAGTATCTTCTCTGACCACAAGAGAATTATAGGTATCAATAACAAGAGAAACTTTAGAAACTATACAGTTACATGGAAATTAAACATGCTCATGAATGAATACTGGGTCAATGGAGAAATAAAGAAGAAAATTAAAAAATGTCTTCAATGAAAGCAAATAAAAATGAAACACAAAATACCAAAATCTATGGCATACAGCAAGAGTAGTGTTAAGAGGAAAATTTATATCAACAAACACCTATATCAAAAAGCTAGAAAGGCTTCAAATAAACACAGATCACCTGAGGTCAGGAGTTCGAGACCAGCCTGACCAACATGGAGAAACCCTGTCTCTACTAAAAATACAAAATTAGCCGGGCGTGGTGGCACATGACTGTAATGCCAGCTACTTGGGAGGCTGAGGCAGGACAATCACTTGAACATGGGAGGCGGACGTTGCAGTGAGCCGAGATCATGCCATTGTACTCCAGCCTGAGCAACAGGAACGAAACTCTGTCTCAAAAAAAAAGAACAAAGTGAAGTCAAAATTTGTAGAAGGAAAGACATAGTAAACATAAGAGCAGCACTCAATGAAATAGAGGCAAACAAAAAATACAAAGGCTGAACAGTTTTTCAAAAGATAAAGAAAACTGGTAAACTGCTACTTATACTAAACATACTAAACAAGAAAAACAGAGAAGAGATCCAAGTAAATAAAACCATAAACAAAACAGGAGATTTTGCAACTGATACCACAGAAGTAGAAATGATTATTAGGGACATTTATGAAAAACTATATGACAACCAATTGGAAAACCTAGAGGAAACTGATAAATTCCTCGACACATGTAACTTACAGGATTTCACAAGGAAAATCTAGAAGAACTGGACAGAGCAGTAACAGGTAACAAGCTTGAACCAGTAATAAGTTCACAAGAAAGTCCCAAACCAATATCTTTACCACCAAATTCTAATTATTTACATTAAAACTAATACCAATTCTTCTCAAACTATTCCAAAAAAAAAAAAAAAAAAAAGGAAAAAAGAAAACTACAGGCCAATATCCCTGGTGAACATAGATGCAAAAACCCTCCACAAAATACTAGCAAACCGAATCCAATAGCACAAAAAAATTAATACACCACGATAAGTTGGGACTTACTTCTTCCTGGGATATAAGGATGGCTCAATATATTCAAATTAATACATCTGCTAAATCTCATTTACAGAATAAAGGGGAAAACACACAGAAGTATCTCAACAAATGCAGAAAAGCGTGTGATAAGATTCAACATACTTTCATGAGAAAAACTCTCACAAATCAGGCATACAAGGAACATCCCTCAACATAATAAAGGTCACGTATGACAAAGCCACAACGTACATCATACTGAATAGGGAAAAGCTGAAAGCCTTTCTTCTAAGAACTGGAACAAGACAAGGATACCCACTTTCATCATTCGTATGCAACACAGTACTAGAAGTCCTAGCCAGAGCAAGTGGGCGAGAGAAAGAAATAAAGGGCATCCACATTGGGAAAAAAGTCAAATGGTCCCTCTTCGTAGATGACCTCATCTTACAGAAAAATAAACCTAAAGACTCTATCAAAAGAGATTTAAAACAGATACACAGATTAGCAAAGTTGCAGGATACTAAATCAGCATACAAAAATCAAGTGTTTCTATACACCAATAATGAACTAGCCAACAACTATCAAGAAAGCACTCCCACTTAAAATAGCAACAAAAGATCAAATATCTAGTAATAAATTTAACCAAGGAGGAGAAAGACCTCTACAGGGAACACTAAACATTACTAATAAAAGGAATTGGAAAAGATACAAACAAATGGACAGACATCCCATGGCCATGAATTGGAAGAAATCATATTGTTAAAATAACCATACAACCCAAAGCAATCTACAGATTAAATGCAACCCTTATCAGAATAATGTTGTTTTTCTCAGAAATGGAAAAAACAATCCTAAAATTTGTATGGAACCTAAAAATGATTCCGAATAGCCAAACCGCTCCTGAGCAAAAAGAAAGAAGCTGAAGAAATCACATTACCTGACTTCGAAATATATTAGGAGGCCACATACTCAAAACAGCAGTGTTGATATGCAAACAGATACATCAGTGAAACAGAACTGAAAACTGAGAAATAAATCCACGTATTTACAGCCAACTGATTTTCAACAAAGGCGCCAAGAAGATACACTTGGGAAAGAACACTGTTTTCAATAAATGGTGCTGGGAAAACTGGATATCCAGAATAATGAAACTGGGTTCTTACCTCTCACCATATATAAAATGCACTCTGAATGGGTGCATTCAACATTATAAAATTACTAGAAGAAAACTCAGGATAAATGCTTCAGAACATTGGTCTAGGCAATGATTTTATGGCTAAGACTTCAAAAGCATAGGCAAAACTTCCCAAATAGACCACTGAGACTATAGTGAAAACCCTGCAAACAAAGGAAACAACCAACGGAGTGAAGAGGCAATCTGAAGAAGAGGTGTAAGTATTTTCAAATGAGTCATCTAACAAGGGACTAACATCCAGAATATACAAGAATCTCAAACAGCAACAAAAAACAAATAATCTAATTAAAGATTAAATCAAAGATCTGAAGGACATTTGTCAAAAGAACATGCACAGATGGCTAACAAATGGATGAAAAAATATTCAGTATCACTAATTGTCAGGGAAATGCAAATCAAAACCACTATGAGATACCATCTCACATGTGTCAGAATAGCTATCATTGAAAAGTAAAAAAATAACAGGTTCTGGTGAGGCTACAGAAAAAAAGGGAATGCTTACACACTACTTGTGAGAATATAAGTTTAGCCACAATGAAAACCAGTCTGGTGATTTCTCGTAGAACTTAGAACTACCATTTGACCCAGCAATCTCATTACTAGGTATATACCCAAAAGAAAATAAATTGTTCTACCATAA